GCCATTCTGAAGAGCAGAAGCCGATGCATCGACAATGATGCACTGAACCATGTTTGGAGAAAAGCAAACACAGCATGTCATCACAAACACCTCTTATAAACTCTCCAGCACGGTGGTGAATGATTTGCAGTCACAGCATATTGGCACCTTGCAAATATTGAGTTGACCATGATTTCATCTGTTTTATAAGTTAGTCTGAAACAGACCGAGACCAACTGTGCAAAAATAAAAACCCGGTCATAACTGGACCATTGACAGGAGAATGATCCTGATTATACCAGCAGATCAAAGCTAAATGTTAGACAGACAAAAGAATCAAGATGTTGTAATGGCTCATTTAAAATGTGGAGCGAGACGTGTTGAAAAGGCTAAAATTCAAAACTACAAATGTCCACAAATGTCCACAAAGGTTACATTTTTTTTCTTGGTATTCCTTGAAAATATGGTTATTATGCTATGAATCATTAAATGCACTTAGTTTTTAGGCTCAAAGTGGGCTTAAAAACTAAATGAACTTAGGCTCAAAGTGGGCTTAAAAACTAAATGAACTTATTCTCAAAGTGGGCTTAATTCAACATAAAAAGTAAATGTTTTCACTCATTTAGACGTGATCCAATATTTCTATAACAGAGTCCCTACCATGCCCAAACATTTGTGCCTGTCGGTGCAACTGATTGCATCAGTTCTTTTCCATTTTTTGCTGAACTGCACCCTTCATTGTGTCCTAGAGGCACATTGTTGTAAGCCACCGCCAGTTTAGTTTGGTATTTACAAGACACTTAATTATAGCTCATTTTATCTTTTAATTATCTGGTGTAATACGGCAAAGCAAAACAGTCTATTTGATTTAATATTACTTACATATTAATTAAAAGACTTGTGTTTTTTTCTCTCTGGCATTCTTATTTTGATTCATACAATAGAAACAATTTATATAAGAGAAGTTTGACTAATTTGCGACCAGAAAAAGAAATTATTTGTTAAATCTAAACCATTTTATATCTAAATCTGCCTATAGTATGAATTATAATATTATTCTGTTATGTTCTTTATGATGGACATATAAAAGAAAGAATGTTAGCAAATGTATAACCTGGGTAAATGACAAATCTACGTTTCACTTTGACACAATGAAAATTAAGTTTGAAAAAGTCAGTTAAATTCAACTAGAAACCCAGAGGCTCCTGTACATATAATGACTCAAAATAGATCTTGGACAGGTTCATCCTGCAGAAACAGAAAAGGCCATTTAGCCAACAGGCAGTGTTAGATGGTCCTAATAGGACTAAAGCCATTAAACAGCAGACATGTGCGCTGCTCAGAAAGCTGGAGGGGACTGAGAGACATTTTTCAGGCCTACTGGTACCAATCACAACAGTTTAACCTTAGTGTTGTCAGTCAGCCTATTAACACTGTTCATAAGTCTACCGCAAGTTCAAACATGTTCTATATTACCTCACCTCTGTCATTATGTGTAAGTGACTAAACAGGCCAAGGGTCCAGTTTTATTTAACTAGCAAGATTCGATCATGACATTTTATTTATAGTATTACTTTCAGAAATTGTATAGTTTTTAATTCATCCTATAATATTGAAACTGAGATCATAAACTAAACCAATCCAAAACTAGATAAGAATTATGACATTTATGGTAAACTAATAATCTCAATAATGTTTTTCTTGTCATATCTATTCTACTTTTCGCACTTTTTCTTGTTAATATGGTGGCGATTTATTTGTCTTGCTGTGGTCAGTGTTCTTCTATCTTTTATACAGTATTGAGTATGATACAAGATTGTCATCTCTAATGTCTTATAAGTACATATAGTCCGGACTTTCCGTAAATTTCTTTAAGTTTTATGCAGGCACCCTGGTGTTACAGTGACTCTCATCTTTTCTACTTTTTGTTGTTGTGATTGGTGGAGGGGTAATTCAATTAATATTTTTACATGATCTTGCATCAAACTGAGACGATTGCAGGTTATCAATTTCTCAGTTCCAGGAACTCATTCCTTCAGAGCAAAGTTTTCAACCCTGGCCCTTAAGAAATGCTGCCCTGCCCATTTTAAAAGGTTTGACACATCTAATTAATTTAATGGCAAATAAGAAAAAGCCTGATAATCAGCAATTAAAGGTAATCTAAAAATGTAAAGCATGTAGAACAGCACATCCTGAGGAAGACGCAGTTTTAGGGGGATGCAGGAGACCTTGTGTGCAGGGGGGGGATTTACTATTAGGCAATACTAGGCAGTTGCCTTGCGCCCCAAGTTTCTGGGGGCCCCATACAACTCTGTGTACATGCATAGTTAATACAACTATTCCCAAACAACTATTAATTATGTTTTTGATTAAAAAAAATGTTGTCTAAGTGTGTCTTAGCCTCCTGCTATCCTCTATCTTGTCTGCTGTCATGATTCATGCAGCTATTATTTCATACAAATAAAAAATGGAGAACCGGATAAGGAGACCATGGCTTGTCTACAGTGAAAAGAAAAGATGTGTTATTTACTTTTGCTGTCCCATGAAAAGTCAGCTACTACAAAACATGGAGAGGAAAACAACAAGAAAAGGGACAAGAAGAGAGGGACAAAACATAGAATAAATAATGCTTGTCTATTCTATTACAATGTCTGTATCTGTATAGTGGGTTTGTGTAATGGTTTATGTGTTGTCTTCTCAATTCAGAGGGCCCCATGCCTGTCTTTGTCTAGGGCCCAAAATTTCCTAAATCCGCCCCTGCTTGTGTGAATATGAGCTGAACTGATTTAAGGGTGATATGATCGTTGCCCTACATTCACTTGCATGCATTCAGAGTTACCAGTAAAATAAATTACGGTAGTTATATAAATTCATTGATGTTTAGGAAGCAGATGACATAAAACTGAGAGCTAGTTTTATAAGAGTGTACTTAAAATACATTCATTCTTTGGCTTTAGCTTATTTAAAGACTATAAAGTGAAAAGTAAACAATAAATCAACTCTGATTATGAATGCAGCTGAGACAGGGCTCCCTTTGAGACAAACATTTAATACTGTTATTGTCAAGGCTCCTATCAGTGGAACAGAAATACAAAGCTTATATTTGGTTGGTGAGCTCTATTTTTTCTCTTCAGTTAACCTCATTGATTATTACCTTTTTATTGTATTATTTGCATATTTTGTGTGTGCCTTTATCAATCTTTGAATGTGTATAAATCTCTGGGCACATATAGTTTACAGCTGCCATATAAAATGTGCAGCGTGAATGAAACTGACTTGTTGGGAAATAAGATCCTTTACAACAATAATCTCAGGAGGTAATTGCTGCGACAAAACAGCATAAACTTTCAACAGACCTCAACAACAAATAATCCACGCAAAATATTTTTGAATCTAAAGCTTAGGGGGAAAATCACTAAAGGACAGAAAGAAGGAAAATGTAAACTGCTGATTATATACAGTAAGAAAACAATGGAACGTAGTTTGTGCACTCTTGAAAATTTCTATTTTCCTGTCACTCTAACATGTTAAGATCTTCAAGCAAACATTTAGCTCAGAGGAAAATTACCTCTACAATGAATTCTAATTGAGATGACTTCAATTATAAGTCCACAAAAAGCTACCCAAACCCACATAACACTATGAGGAATATTAACAAGCATCTCTTATATCACAATAGAGCGATGTCGGTCAATTATTTAAAATGTTGATTTAATTTAGACGCATCAGCAGTTTTTGAGAATTTACCTTTTTGAGTTTGTTTTTTTCTTAATTTGTTTGTTTTCCTTTGGCACTATCCTATAGATGTGTTTCATTTCCACTCTATTTTTACAAACTGAGACCAGTTAAAACTAAGAGAAAATAATGTTGCTTCTCAAACTTTACTGAGTTTATTTAATTCCGAAGTCTTTTTTTTTTATTTTTTTTTTTTACTTCATTACATCAGTCAGTTTCTATGAGAGAAATTTCTTCATTCTGGAAATCAGGCCTTTATGAGGCCTGAATATAACAGCTAAACTAATGGGACAATAGAGTTAATATGAGGGAAGTTGGGTACAGTTTGGTTCTCCCAAAGCATCATTATTTAGAGGCAGCTTTGAGATTTTATGATATTACAATTTTTATGATTTAAAAAAAAATGCCAAAAACAAAAAAAATTACATAACCTTTCTAAAAAAAATTATTATTACAGTAAAAAAATCCTTAAAAAAAACATGGAATGGAAAATATGAAACACTTGCAGAAACCTGTCATGTAAGAATTTTGATCCGTGGTATTAAAAGGACCTTAAGATGATTCATCCAAGTATTTCATTTCAAAGTAACTGATTAAAAAGGTGAAGGGAATGGAACTAGAGGTATTACAGACAGCATGCTCCGTGCGTGTTAGTTCCAAACGGGCTAAGACACACAGAGCCACAAAATCTCCAAGTACAAGGAGTCCATCACATAGATTAATCTGAGATTTTCTGGACAGAGAGAATCTCACACCCACGTATGGGAACAAAATACAAAAAAAGTACATCCAAAAGCTGGCAGGCAACAGGAAGCATGTCAAAACAAGCTGCCAAGCCAAAGGCAAAATCTATCGGTGCAGTTATACACATGTCGAAGTGGATTCTAGGTCACTCATGTCATTGCAATCCTGTGTTTTTTTTTTTTAAAAAGGCAACTGGACTTCTTCACACTTGAAGACGTTCTTTCCAGCTTTCATAGTTTCTACAAACAGTTAAAGTCCAGTTCCCTCCTGTTTAACTATTTAGGATACATACAAACAAAAGCAGAAACTGACAGTTTGAATTAGATTAAAAGCAAGCCCAGGCATGGCAACAGGAGGGGTGATAGGAGGCAATTAGAAACATTTTTTCAATGATAATTGCTGTGTGCAACCATTGCAGGCCACAGAGCCATTCATGGCAGGTTGGGAAGATGAGCTCAGTATTAAAAACTGCTGGTTTGCATACCCACAGTATGTCCTCAAGGGGAAATAAGCGAGATGAGAAAGGAGTGTAAGCCTCTTACTCTGGCATGTAGGTATGTCACAATACTTCCAGTACGTCACATCTTCATGATCGGCAATGTAGCACCATGGCTGGACGTCTCCATCAGGATTCCTGCAGCCAAAAAAAGAATAAACTGTTAAACAAAAGAAAAGCCATCTTTAGACTTCTTCCTCATTTTAAAAAATACATTCATGGACATGAAAATAAAACAGGTAATAAGCTGAAGTAATTCAGTTTGAAAGACTGAGGATTTATGTTGCAGATTACCTGCTAATAAAAACGATCATTACTCGTGGGTATAAAATTGTGAATTTAATGTCTTAGAGTAACTCTGCAACTTTAAACCTGCTTGATGTGGTGCAAAATGTGCAAAATTCGAAACTGAACCATATGTATAAATGACTCACATACATTATTACCATAATTACAGCAAATCATATTTAATTATAAATATGATAAATTATATTAACTTATGTGACCGAACAATGCTCAGTAGAGGGTTGACGCATACGAGAAACAAAAGGATACAATGTTTCTAAAATTGTTTGCAACTGAAACTTTGGTCTAGATAGAGATCAACTGTAAACATCAATTTCAAGTTTTGCACCAAAGTTTCATTTGGATTAAAGTAAGAACTTCGGTCCATTAGAACCTATACATCTGATTTGAGTTGAAGAGTTTCTCACTTTGGGTTCAGGGTTGTCCTGCTTTATAAAGACCTACCACCACAATCTGGCATACTTAATTCAATTCAATTCAGTTTATTTATATAACACCAATTCACAATACATGTCATCTCAAGGCACTTTACAGTTCATTCAAAGTGTTCTATCTAAGGAAAACCAGTTGATTGCATTGACTCATTGACTCTAATGCAATCCCTCACACTAAGCATGCTTGTAGTGACAGTGGAGAGGAAAAACTCCCTTTTAACAGTAAGAAACCTCCAGCAGAACCAGGCTCAGTGTGAGCGGCCATCTGCCGAGGCTGTCTGGGGTTTAAGGAAGCCTCTATCCAGTTTTCATCCTGGATTGTCTCAGGTTTAGCTTCATTCACCAAGCAATCAACTCTGTCTGGTTTTTATCTAATACTGAAGCATCTTGCTACCACCGATAGTGGCTGATTTTCTGTGTGCCCAAAGAAACTTCCCCCACTTGTCTGTTTTGCCACCTACAGATGGACCAAATTTTGATTTCAGAAGTAGGGGCAACGCAAGCATTCTTTAATATAACTCTTATATACAAATTAAACGTGTTTTTTAGTAGGTCTAGTTTGTTTCCTCTGTTTCTCTTGCATCTCTGCGCACAATACCTGACAAAATATATGGATGCATGACATTATCAAAGGGACAATTTGGAGTGCAACAATCCATGTAGATTAAATACACATAATTTTACAATTATTGTGAGAATGGATATATAAAATCACATTCACAGATTGATTTTTTTCCTTTTTTGATGATAATACAATTAATTCTGAGATGAGATAACTTAAAAATGAAAATAATAAATAATATTTATTAATAAAACAAATACACTTCACAAGGTTATTGAGAGCTTTATAATTCGTCGTAGGACCTTGAAGTGAATATGCTGCTTTATGGAGACAGTGAAGGTGTTTTAGGAGGGCTGTTACACAGTTCTTTCAATCTCAGCCTTTTAACTTTTAAAGAAGTCTCATATGTTTCAGTTTTTCCGACATCCTGGCTGACAGTCTAATAACCGAACGCACGCACATGACACCAATTCAAAAATCCGTGTAAATTAACACATCTGATATTAAAACGCTCCGAGATTACATGACCAAAGTGAAGAACAAATGCCTAAATTAAAGAAGCAGATTTCTCTAAGAGTGTAAGGACTTGACTTAGAACCTCAGCAGCGCTGTGACCGTCCAATCACAGACCTGATTCAGTGGCTCATAAAGTGAGCTTCTCAGGATTGACAGCGGTGACAGCACAAGAAAAGATGGCGGTCCAAACAGGAGCTTTTGGGCGGTCTAAACTCAGACTGAGCTCCTGTTTTCCGCTTGGTCCTAGTGCTCGACGAGTGTTGGTGTAATGTAGCGTAACATTGTATTTTTATCAGTGTATTTTTAACAGTAAAAAAGTGCAAGGGACCTAAACTGACTTTTGAAAAAGTGCAGGGTTCATGCCCCAAAATTACTTCCGTGCATCTACATGACTTTATTCAAACATTAAACAAAACTTCTTGCTTTCGTTCCACAGTGGCTTTCTGTTTGCATAGAGAAAAGACTTGATGGAGACAGTGCTCCTTCAGGGCTACAAAAAGTATTATCATTGATTTTCTAAATATTACTCTCCTTGCACAGTTTCTTTATATTGAAAGACATTGCTTAGTAGATTACACTTGTTGTATGCTCTTTTCATTTTTAGAATAAAACTACTGGTGTTTTGTCTGCTGCGTTCTTTGGTCTCATAATGCTGTACATACACAAAAGTTTCCTAACAAACCTATGAACAGCTGTATTTTTACGCAGGTGAAATTGCTTGCTGCAGGATTGCATTTACTATGCATGCATCAGCATCAAAAAGGGAACAGGGTTTTATCAGTTTTCTTGTAGGTCTGAGAAATGATTTGGGTCAAAAAGGAAAAAAGAAAGATAAACAAAGAAGAAGAACATACAATTACGGGGGTATGCATTGCCCAAAAACAATAAAATAAGGAAATCCTTATAAAGTCAAACCTCTGCTCAGAGCTCAATACCCAATAGTGCTTTCAAGGCAAATTAGTTTACAAAACTGAATCACCATGGGTAACAACATTGGTACTTCTCTAGTCTCCATCTTAAAACCTCTATGTTTAACCATACAGTCAATTGTAGACCAAACCATCTTCCGGATGTCAGGGAAAGGCTCTTTGTTCTGGCCTAGACAGACAGACCAAAAAGAGGAGCAAGGGCTGATGGAGCCAAGCTTTTGTCTGAGTCCGTAGCCTCTTTTGAAGCTCATCAAGGCACTTTTAACCCATCATAATAACCCAGCAAGGCCCCTGGTGCTTTTCCTTTTCAGTTAAACTTATAAAAGCCATAAGGAGCAGCATGACATGGGAGGCTCAACATCTCCAGGGTAATCATCCAGCTTTGTAAACCAGGACCCTTGTGGCAATTTCACAATTGCTGAGAAATAAAGTAAACGGGCCAGCATACTGTGAACTGAATGCTCATCTTAATGCCGTTTCAGCTTTTTAATCTCTTTTTAGGATTAATAGCAGGCTGTAAAGGCACACTGCTTGTTAAAAACAGTCATCTAAAGTGACTTTTTTAGCCCTCACTGTGAACAGCAAGAACCTTTTCTCTCATGACACAGCTCATTGTAGCATTTTCAAAAAGGCCTGCAGCGGTGCCCTATCCTGTTTCCCTTTTTGTGTGCAAAGTTGTGAAGGGTGTTTCCATTTCTTTTCTTTAACGATAAAAAACAGTGTCCAGAGTGTTCTCTCCTTTTCATGCTCGACGTGAACAACTAAGATTAATGTTGTTTTGCAATAGATTTTGCTTTAAAACTCTAAGTATCGCTGTTCCCTTGACGCCTCATCACTGTAGCTCTTTTCCCAACATCTTCTGTAAAGTTCCCAAGTTTTATTTTCATCCTATCATGAGCTGTGATTTTTCTGTTTATTACACCACCCATATGGGAAGAACAGACATGTTTGTTTGGCTCAAGGCTATTCTATAAATAGCAAAAACTGGGCCAAACAATAACAAAATGTCACTGTAATATCACTTGTCTCCTCTCTTCTTAACACCTATCAACACGGTATAATCATTTCTGAAAAATGAATCCAAGGAATGTGTAAAAGCCAATCACGTAATTTAATGTGGTTTCTTAATTAACGAGAAGAGAGCACACATAAATTAACCTTTGAAATAAAAAAAAGCCTCTGCAGACCACCCATTTCATGTGTGATTCACCAGAATCTTTAATAAGGTTAATTAGGCGGGTTCCTTAACCCTATCCATCATATAACCAATCAGCAGCTGTAAGAACCATAGCCAGGTTTGTGGTATCGAGGTAAATTACAGTTTATTAATCACTAAATTAACCACTTTAATAGCTCAAAGTCCTTGTGAAGGCAATCAGAAAGATATAATGCATGCTGCCAGTTAGCTGGCTGAGATAGTCTACACATTGTTCCCTCGGTTATAAAAAGGATTTTAAGTTGTCTCCTAAACTAAATGGAATAAGACATTCTTTTGCATTTGTTGTGTTAATTAACCCTAATAAAATGAATTTTTATTATTATTGTTTTCATTCACTGGGATAGAAATCCTTTCAAAGTCATCATTTTGTTTTCCATCAAAGAAATGTATACTATATATTTTTTTTTTTTATGCACATCATCTTATTTTCATATGTAGGGCAAGAAAAGGCCATGGATTTTTAAATCAATTATTAAAAGTGACATTTCAGGTTTTTAATATGTAAAAACAAATCATGAACAAGTAAAAAAAAAAAAATTATATATATATATATATATATCCATAAAGAAAAAACAAAACCAAATCTAATAGTTTATTGTTATAATTTTGTATATAATTATAATTATAATTTTGTTTATTGTTATAATTTTGTCTCTTGGTACAGAAAATCAGCGTTCTTCCAAACTTTATGACCATCTGATAGGAGAATAAATGTTTCTATGGTAGTTTTAATATCAATAAGCGCTTTGGAATACAGTGAAATGATGCAATTCATGCAGTAAAATATCCCAAATTTGTATAAAAAAAAAAACCTCTTTAAACATAAAGTACAAAGTGAATCACCTCTATACTTATCTAATAGACTAATTACTGATTCATTTAATAGTCACCACTCTAACAAACTCCACCCTCTTGTTCTTCAAAACAGAGTTTTGGTTTTGGTGACAGATGAATTACCATGCTTGCTATGGCTGTTTACCTTAATATAGAAAAATATTGGTCGGGTTTTCCCTAAAATGTATGCACAACCAATTTGGATGTGGGAAAACTGTCAGTTGATAAATCTCGTTTTCCCAGGGTAGCTTTTTTAGAGCAATTTCTCTTTAGTGTATACTGGTCAAATTAGAAAACAGGGAAACTTATATTTGCAAGCATTTAGATCCGGCTAACTG